TTCAATTGGCAGTTCTGTGGCGTAATGCATGTGTCAAACTCGTGGCCCCCCAGGATTTTATAGGCCATGGAAACTCAAATGTAATATTTAAAACTGCAATACATAAAATCAGTTATTTAACAATATGAGGTGGTGTTTAATTTATTTTTAACATTGTATTTTATACATTTATGCTAGGGCTGCCCAAGTCTAGTTTTCCAGAGCTACCATCTGCAGCTTTAGATGCATTCCTTCTCTAACACACCTGGATCATTGACTCATTATAAGCCTCTACAGACCTGAATGAGGGAAGTCAGCCTTTTGTCTGGGGTGTTTTAGCAGGGATGCACTCCTGATCTGTACCGTCAATGTAGCCCGTTGAGGGGGGCCAATATGCTGAAGTGGCCCTCGGTGAAATTGAGTTTGACACCCCTGCTGTAGACACCCATGCTGTAAAGGGAATGTATTCAAATTCCAGATGAAGGCTTTTTGCTGCAGCCAGTTCAAGAGCAGGGTGCACATTTGCTCTACATGATGTTTTTATCAATGTTTAATGGTGAGAAATGATTACCCAGAGTCCATCACTCAGCACCTTTACAACATGGCCGCTCCCGGCTGCAGAAGTGTGGCTCTTCCAGCCAAATGTAATCTGTCACCCCTTCGCTTTGTTGTGGTTTGGTAGCTGTAGGGGACGGACGTGAACACATTTAATCTCGGAGTGACCTCTGTGTGAAATATCAGCTTTCCTGAGAAGAATAATGAGAGCAGAGGAGACGGAGGGAGTGATGGAAGAGGGGAGGGGAAGAATAATAATAATAATAACTGAGAGAGGAAGAAGCAGAGATGTGGTGATAAATGCAGATGCATTGTGTTATTTTTATATTAACATTCCCTTTCGTTTGTTCACAGGAGCGCCACGCTGACAGCCTGATACAGAACCAGCATTACCAGGTCAGTGAAGCTCATAACACCATCGCTTAGAAAAACACCAGGTGTAAATATTCCTGCAGTCGGTTGCAATCACTTTGTTTTCATTCCATCAGAGAAAAAGGTAAAGAAACAGTGAAAACACAGAACAGAGACTTGATTAGCATTAGTGTAATAGTGTAAGTTATTATTTATTTACAGGAAAAAATTTAATAATATGTTAGATTTAAAAAACAAGTTTTATCTGAATTCACAGATTAATGGGAAAAATCAGAAAAAAACATCCAACAAACTAACATTCATCCATCCAACCAACCAACCAGCTAACATCCATCCATCCAACAAACATCCATCCATCCATCCAACCAACTAACATCCATCCATCCAACAAACATCCATCCATCCATCCAACCATCCATCCAACAAACTAACATCCATCCATCCATCCAACCATCCATCCAACAAACTAACATTCATCCATCCAAACATCCATCCATCCAACCAACCAACCAGCTAACATCCATCCAACAAACTAACATCCATCCAACCAACCAACCAGCTAACATCCATCCATCCAACAAACATCCATCCATCCAACCAACTAACATCCATCCATCCAACCATCCATCCAACAAACTAACATCCATCCATCCAACCATCCATCCATCCAACCAACCAACCAACCAGCTAACATCCATCCAACAAACTAACATCCATCCATCCATCCAACAAACTAACATCCATCCATCCAACCATCCATCCATCCAACCAACCAACCAACCAGATAACATCCATCCAACAAACTAACATACATCCATCCATCCATCCAACA